ACGGCATGATGCAGGTACCGTACAATAAGATACGAAGATTGAAGTTAAACCTGCTTCTGCCCTCTACGTTAGGTACTGGTAGCTGGCTTTTCAGAGGGCGGGAATATGCATTATTGGGCGCTGTTCCTGGGGTACGTACGCTTCTGCAAGAAGGCCGAGATAGATTGGTATCGTTCGTATTAGTGAGTTGATCCTATAGTAAACCTATGAATCTGACAGGTACGGAGGAGTATCGTGGGGCATGCGTATGAGTACTGAGAGCGTGTAATCCGTAGTAAGGTTGCTTGTACCAGACCTGCGTCCCCTGTACATACCCCCCTCCTCTTCTCCCCTTTTCCCTGCATTTCGTCGCGTGGCCGCAATGACATTTTATGACATTCCGAGATCTCGCCTTAGTTGTTTACAATAGTCGCTCGCTCCGTTCAGGATGGGGACCGTGCTGTCCAAAGCGTACTCCGTATATGTGATTCGGATTACTTGATCGGTCTTCATTCTTGCGAAAAGGATCATGCGATGCAGTGCAGTGCGGTAGAGTAGCAGTCGTGAAGCCCCCGTATAGGCATGCACAAGGTTCGAGCATTCGGATCAAGCCCTATTGAGAAGAAATGGTGGTATTCTACCGCTGCCATGTGGGGACCTGGAGTCTATTCCCAGGAATGCAGTTGCCATAACCAACCCCCAAATACAAATATCGGTCGTCTAGATCTTGACCTCGCTTTGACCCCTGATCAACAGCTGCAAAGCATTTAGCCTCTAGGTTTTCAATCCCAGTTGCCACGCTGTTTTTCAGCCAAATGGTGCCATGATTATTTCGGCTTTAGGGGCCAGCACGTCTAGTCCAGTCAGTCTAGCCAGTGAGGTGCCTTGCCTTGCCTTGCGGGAAGCACTCAGGGATATTGAGCCTATCAGTGGGGCGAAATACACGGAGCCTCTGGTATCTTTTCGTACTCAGCCCAATGGTAGCGCCGGTCAACGCCAAGAGGGTTACATCCAGTCGACGGAAACGGGAATACTACCATGGGGCACGGCTTCGCTTCTGGTTTGTCGGTACTCGCACTATGCCTTTCGCACCCATCGTCTTGGAGATGGACGGCGCAGGTGCCGTGTTCCCGCAGAAAGAAACGAGGAAAGTCACCTTGTCTTGTCTTGTTCGTCGCTCGCGCGCGCCTACCAGGAAGAAAGAAAGAAAGAAAGAAAGAGGTGGACAGACAGATTGGAAGGCAGGCAAATACGAGCATGGCATGGGTATGGATGGGCATGGGAGAGAGAACACACGAGGAGGGTGTGAGGCCGCGACTCGTAGGTACAGTAGAGAGGCTATCCTGCCTGCCAACACAGAAGGATGGGGAGATTACAAGATGGAGCCATAGTGGCCTCAAGGCTCATCGTTTTACGATCAACTACTGTACTACCGGTATATCGTCACGTAGTTAGTACACCACAGCAAGTCTCGAAAAGGCCGAGAGAAGAAAGACAAAAGACAATGGCATGGTAGTCCGTCTTATCTAACGTTTGACGCTTCGAGGGCTAGATCGCGGCCGCATTACCTGAAAGCTTCGGAAGTGGCCGAAAGAAGCTTTGGGGAAGCAAGCCGCCGCTGTTTCTGGCTCGGATCTTTCTGCCCATGCCACATTCTGATAGGCTTCTGGAGAGGGCGTAGACCAAAGTATATCCCCACGATTTTACCCATTCTGGCCAGTCCGGCTCTCTTGGATCCCGAACATGGATGGTACCGTAGCTTGAAGAATGCAAGCACTCGAGGCTGATCTGTGGCGACCACTACTACTTCGGATGGTACGAGCGGAGTCCACGGCGAGGTCTGGGCACGCAACAGCCGCTGGCCCTTTCGCTGCTCTGTCCATTTGTGGGAGGTTGGAATAGGAACATGATGTCTCCCAAAGTTTGACTCATTCTCAACATCCATTCGCAGATGTGAACGTGAACATGGGGTTGACGGGCGGTCTAATAGGATTCCCGATTATGATTATTATTATTTGGGGGTGGAAAACACCAGCGCACAAAATGGCAAATTTGGCTCGCTCGTGGACCCGGGGACCTTCCTTTGACCTGTGCATACGGCGCGGCGGCATGAGATTTTCTTAACTGCACATCTTATTATGGACCATGTCTTATCCGGCTACTTTCTATGGGCAGCTAGCTACCAATTGGGCTTGCTACTGTATGGAAAAAAATCAAAATGAAAAGCTTCAAAAGTCGAGAAAAAGCATCATGCCATTTCATCAGGCAGTACAGCTTCTATTCTTGATGTTTTTCTCGCATGCACAGGGCAGAGAGGCTGCGCAATGCCAATGCGACGGTACTTAGTATTTACGGTATTTTCATACCTCCGCACAAGCCTCCCTTCTGGACTCTGCACCGCACATCTCAGTACCACGTCCGCTGTACTGTACAGTTGGTGGTGGTTGCCCTGCAGTGTATTTGAGTGTTGCTGGCGCTGCGGGCCAAGCCTACATGATGCATTCGCAAGGAAGGGAGGGGAGGACAGAACAGAACAGAAGACAGAAATAGGACCAGTGCCCCTCGTACCACATGGGATGCCATTCGAGCTCATCCATCATCCCATCCCATTCCATCTCATCCCATCTTCTTCCTTCCCCTTGTCACCCGTCACGCCTCGGGACCCCAGGATTTATGTTAGAGATCCATGGGTACCTCACATCCCATGCATCGCATCGTATCTCACTCATGGCAGTGCAATCCATCGCAGCGCTACTCCGTACTTCCCTACCGTAGTTCTGCGCATCCCAGATTAGCTGGCTTTAACCAGATTCATGATGATATCACCAAGCAGAATGAGTTCTTCAGATGGTAGATGCAGTGACGATTGTAATTTCTGAGCCTTGCTTGGCTTGGATCGCTCGGCGAGGTGGAGCGCCGAAAGGTTTCCTGCATTAAACAAAGATTTGATCCGAGGAGTGAACTTGTATATCCCATCCCATTCGCCCGTCCCCTTGGCCCAAAAAGGGTTTAAGCACAGCGGCTAGTGCCCGAAGGGGGTTGCGAGCACTCGTTTAAGGTTCTTGGCTGAACGTGACGGTGACGAGACGAACCCACTTGTTGCGAGCTGCTCTGCTGTTCCGCGGGCGCCGGACGGAGCAACCCTCCCTCCCTCTAAACCTAGGTACCTCCAAGCCAAGGCCAGCGCAAAGCTGCGTGGCGGTTGCGTTGCTCTGGCCTCTGCTTTGGAGAAAGATCCTTGTCCGTACCTGAGCATTACACCCACCGGTTTCCTGCAGAGGCTTAGAGTAGAGACGACTGAACCAATAAGAATCAGTGGAGTAGGTAAGGTTCGCTGCCATGTTTAGGCGAAAAGGAGATCATTATGGTACGGTCAAATCGCATCGCATTGTCGCAATTGAGGGGGAAGAAGAGGAAGGGCAAGGGAGCGGCGGGCCTTGGGCTACTGAAGCCACCAAACCACTCCACCACTGCGTATACTCCGTACCAATAAATTACCAGTTACCAGAGTCCAGGAGTCTGGTCTGCAGAGGCAGAGGGCTTTTTTAGTTATAGTGCAGTGCAGTACATACAGTCCAGTACAGTCCAGTAGAGCAGTCAGTTACTCCAGCCCCTACCGAGTACTGTACTGTACTATACTATACTGTAGCAGGCCATGTCTTACTTCCTCCTGTAGCATCTACATCTACCAGGTCACCAGTAACCAGAACCGTCCACATCCACCAGGTCCCCCCTCCCCCTCCTCTCCCTTCCCTACCCCCGTGCAGCGGTAAAGGCGCCCCATACCCTATCAGCGTGTCAGGGGATTTTGCGCCAGGACCCCGTCCCCGTCCAAGCCTCCAAGGGGCAGAAAAGAGGAAGAGCTCTGCATGTGGCCCGACGCCGACGCAGAACAGCGGCCGGCATGCTTGCCCTGCTACTGTAACGACCTAAGGTATCTAGGATACCACGCGCTGAATCGCTGAATTCATCACTGGCCCCCCAGCAGTAGTACTCCCGTACAGGCCTGGTGGGCCGAAAAGGCAAGCAGCAGGGGATGCCATACCCTGCCAAGCCACTGCTCCTATCCTCGACAACAGCAACGGGATGGGATGGGATGCTCGCAAGACTTCAGATCTCACTCACCCACGCCGCGCTTGCACACTTCATTATTTTCCTAGTACATACACACATAGCCAGTGAACCTTGCACCATATCTTCTTTTTCTGCCCTCTTCTTTGATTTAGCTTAAAGAACAAACCTCTTCTCTTTTCCGCATCAAGAGTCGAGCCCGTGTGCTCCACAGTACCGGTAGAAGATCCCCCAGCTGCATTGTATATATTACACGGGACCTCCTGGTTATGACCTTGACCTTGTCTGGGCGCTCAGGTTCCAGAAAACTACAGCCACAAGATCTATCGCCAACGTCAAGCGCCGTACGTCCCTATTTCCTCTCCACCAGCTCCTCCTCCCTTTCTTTTCACAACTCCACATCACCCTTCTTCCCTCGCCCTGTGCTCTCATTAACACTTCATCGACAGCGTCTCCCTTCATTCCTTGCATCTCGGCCCTCCTATGTGGTATTGAACCAACAGCTGTTCATCCGCTCCTAATAATCCCTCCCACCATTCGTTCATCAACACTGTACCTAATACGCGCCCTCTTCCTAACCACTCCAGCCAGCGCTTCGCCCAGCCTTGTCCTTCAACTCGCCTTTCGATTTGTTCTGTGCAATTGTTTGTTCTCTTGCTATTCAAATCTACCTCCTAATTACCGGAGCATCGAATTGCGCGGCCGTCTTTGATCGAGTCCTTTTAGCGTTCATTTACTCTCGCTCACATCAGATACCGACGAACCTCGATCTTTACCTCGGTCTTTAAATGTCAATTCTCTGCAGCAATACCCTTTAATCTACCCAATTGGATAGACGTGTTGAAGAAGAAGGCTGTCCTTGGTTTACCCAACGCACCTGAAGTCTCTTGATTTGTAACAGGTGTATTCGAGCTCCAGTCTCGAAGTTTGGGCTCCATCGATTGCCGATCATGGACTTCCTAGACCCCGTCTATCATCAACAGTTCTCTCACCACCACGAGCATATGCCTCCGCAGGGGATGCCGGTATACAATGAAGCGCAGCATAACATGCACAACTATGCCATGGCACAACAATCGGCCTCGATGATGGCCATGGCCCCTACGACGAAAACCAATGAGACAAAACCCCGCCTGGGCAAGGATGAAGTCGATATCTTGGAACGAGAATTCAAGAAGAATCCCAAACCAACGACTCAAACGAAAAGGCAGTTTGCGGAAGATATGGGGGTGGACTTGGCGAGGATCAATGTAAGTTCAGCTCTTCCAGCCTCGCCGTCTTGCGTTGCTAATGAAGCATAGAATTGGTTCCAGAATCGACGAGCAAAGCGGAAGCAGGAGAAAAAACAAGAAGCCTACGAAGCAGGACAAGCGCAGGAAGCATTAGGATACTCGGATGGAGCCTCGTCGCCCGATTTCAACTACGGCAACACATATTTCAACGACAACTCCATGCTTCCGCAGTCGTCAGCACCGTTTCCCATTGTTACTGGCCCTCCACCACCTGTAGCTCCGTTTAATCCCCAATATAGCGACCCTTCTAGCGCGAGCATGGAGTCGCTGCAACGGACAATGGCTGCTGCCCAAGCGGCTACCCAACAACACGAATTCCACGGTAGCTTTTCCGAGCAGTCCGACTCCCTGGTATCTTATGCTGGTTCTATGATCCAAGATTCCTCAAGTGGCGACCGAGCTCAGTTTCCTCCCCCAAATAGCACCATGGCCCATTTCGAAGACAATCAATATTCGTTCCCGTCCACTTTTACCAACAACGTATATCACTCTCCACAGTCCGCAGGCGAACTCCAGCCTTCGCCAGTGAAGACAGCTAACCAGACCCACACTGCTTTCATCGATTACTCTTGCTCTGGCTCGGATTCAAATGGTTCGCAAACAATAACCACTTTCCCCTCCCAGTTACTGGGCCAGGCACATAGTGGCCTTCCGTCTCAATCCAGTAATAGTATAAACAGCCAAAGCCCGGAGGAAAGTAATGGAGGTAGCCTTGCACTTGCTTTCAAGTATGACATTGCGGAATCTGACGAATCTTCTGACTCTCCTCCGTCACCTTCATTCAAATCCCCACCTCCCCCAACAAACATCGCTTCGCGCCGAAAAAATGCCGTCAGGCCCGCAGCTCTGATCTCCGAAACCTTGCAAAATCGTCCCTCAATGGGGCCAAGAACAGTGTCTCATGCAGAAGGTTTCCGTCGCCCTATTGAGAGCCCCATGTCTTCTCCCATGCGTCGGATTGTGTCTGCTGGAGGGAATCGAAATGTTCTCACTGGTCGAATCTACAAAACGGGCTTAGAATCAGCACAGCGCTCGCCTATTAATCTCGGTGGTTTTTCTGATGCAGGAGCTTTCATGGAACACAACTACCATACCATCCGCAACCCTCCCTCCCTTTCCGCTCTGTCATCTTTAAATAGCAGCCTTGCTCCACCAACGCCAATGTCTCCTCGGGAAAGGGAAATGAGTCTGGTCAAGAGGGAACCTTCGAGATCGACAGCATCGCCTCAGGAAGGAAGCATGAATTACGTGTTCAATCAGGGCGTACCGGGATGTTTCACTTCAATCGAAGGGGACGACCAGAATCTGGCATCGCCCCCAGAGACACCACAGGCTCAGATGACAATGCAATCGGGGAATAGCTGGGCGAATGGGTCCGAGTTTCAGGAGAAGCAGTGGAGTTATGAGGTGCCAGATGAGCCGCTATTCACCCCAGCCCAGGGTGTCTTCCCTTTGGAGCTCCAGATGCCACAACCTCAGTACCTCTCAAATATGAGCCAACCTGTCACACCTGCCTTTGGGCAACAGTTCAATCCATCGTTCATGTTTGAAAACGAGTCGCCACATTTCAAGAACGATTCTCCCCAATATACGCTGTCAACTCAGAGCCACTCTGAGTACTTGTTTCCTGATGGCCAGAACCACTACTCCATGGGTCTTTTGACTTCGCCCTTGACAAAGCAAAAGACATTTCAATTTTCGAACACTACTGCGGCAGACTTCTCCGAGAAATAATGCGGGGAGGGAGTCTATATGTTTGGAGTTTACGGATCGTTTCCCCCGCTCTTCTAGAGCTATACCCGACGGAAGGCCTTTTGCCTCCGCCACTATGTACAACAGAACATTTTCCTCCTTCCGGCATGTTTAGCGCTTGATTTTCACTGCCTGAGATGGCATCGACACTCACTTAATGTAATCCAAGGCGGCACTTATGGCGTCAATTGTTAATGTTTACGATATACGGAGGGGCAGATATACCCAAAAATAAATATAGCGATATCAGGGAGGTGCGTTGGGATAGGAATGATTTATTTTGGGTCAAGACCAGGCGTAATAGGACAGGATGGCATGGATGGGTGGTTGATTCATGTGTCGATTAATGACCATGAGTTTGGAGCGTTAAGTGCATCTACAGCTAAATGATCAGAGTCAAAGTCGGAGTCAGTAGTCGAGACGGTTGGATTATAAGTGGTTCTTCAAAATAGACGGTTGTCGAGTCGGATCCAAAACAATTATTTCTCCAATCCTTCCTTGTATCATGATTTCGCATTCCATCGGCAGCAAGGAAAGGAGGCTCAAATCCAAGATCAAAAAGTATTCCGATTCGGGCAATCCTATGCGGCTTATCATCCAAAGATAAATTTCATCTCGTCTTTATACGCCCAGCTCAACATTCCCTCCGATGTAGGAGCTGTTGGCTGGCGTTTGCAGGGATTCCCTCTCCACCCAGTAAGTGCCGTAGTGCCCCTCACTCCACAGTGCCGACACAAAGCGAAGAAGCTCTTGGATTGCTCAATTGAATAAACAATATAAATCATTCGATAGCAACCTCCCACTCGCAAGACACGACCAGCCACGAGATCAGTTCGCTCATCATCCTCGCAATTGCAGTCTTCTCTTCCACCATGGCTACTAAAGGGCTTAGAGGCCTTCAACCTATGCGATGTCTGCAATCCACTTCAGCGTTACCCCGCATGGCCAGAATGTCGACCATTGCTTCTTTCAAGATACCCAAGGTCTCTAACGAGCCAAATGTTAGTTTAGCATCATACTGCAATTGCTGCCAAAGGCTAATGTTCAGTAGCACCATTATACCAAGGGATCCTCCCAACGCGAAGGTCTCACGGCCGCCCTTGACAGGCTCCAGCAAAAGGTTCCCCTGGAGGTACCAGTTGTTATTGGAGGCAAAGAAGTCAGTATCCAATGGCCCACTGGTATAGCTGATTGCTAACTTCACAACTATAGATAAAAACCTCCTCGATCTCCACTCAACAAAACCCCTCAAACCACTCCTCCACAATCGCCGCCTACTCCAACGCCTCCCCCTCCGACGTATCCTCCGCCATCGACGCAGCTCTCGCCGCAAAGCCAGCATGGGAAGCCCTCCCCTTCGCCGACAGAGCCGCCATCTTCCTCAAGGCTGCGGATTTGATAGCTGGGAAATACAGATACGAGATCATGGCCGCGACGATGCTGGGTCAGGGCAAGAACGCATGGCAGGCTGAGATCGACGCTGCTGCTGAACTGGTTGACTTCCTCAGGTTCAACGTGCAGTTTGCGGAGGAGCTATACGCGCAGCAGCCGGCTCACAATTCGCCGGGTGTGTGGAATAGGGTGGAATATAGGCCATTGGAGGGCTTTGTTTATGCGGTTACGCCGTTCAATTTCACGGCTATTGCGGGCAATCTTCCTGGTACGCCGGCATTAATGGGGAATGTGGTTGTTTGGAAGCCTTCGGATTCCGCCATTGCTTCTAACTGGTTGCTCTACCAGATCCTTCTTGAGGCTGGCTTGCCGAAGAATGTTATCCAGTTTGTTCCTGGAAATCCGGAGGAGGTTACAAAGGTTGTTCTTGAGCACAAAAAGCTGGCTGCTCTTCATTATACGGGGAGCACGGCTGTATTCCGCAAACTTTATGGTACTATTGCCAATGGTGTTGCTGAGGGCAGGTACCAGGGATACCCACGCATTGTTGGTGAGACTGGAGGGAAGAACTTCCATCTTATCCACCCATCCGCGGATATCGAGAACGCAGCCATTCAAACCGTTCGTGGAGCATTCGAGTACCAGGGTCAGAAGTGCAGTGCCACGTCCAGAGCCTACGTCCCGAAGTCCGTCTGGCCACAGTTCAAGGAGAAATTGGTCAAGGAGACTTCAGCACTCTCAATTGGCGCACCAAACGACCCCAAGAACTTCATCGGCCCGGTCATTCACGCAGGATCTTTCAACAAGCTCTCAGGCGTTATTGACGATGCTAAAAAGGACAGCGAGCTCGAGTTAGTTGTCGGAGGCAAGCATGACAACTCAAAGGGCTACTTCATCCACCCAACTATCTATGCTACAACCAACCCCCAACATAAGCTGCTATCTACCGAACTCTTCGGCCCTATCCTCACAGTCCATATCTGGGACGATACCCCCTCCGATGCCTTCTCCTCTATCTGCAAGGTCGTAGACAGTACCTCCGAGTACGGTCTCACAGGCTCCGTCTTCGCAACCGACCGCAACGCTATCCGCTTCGCCGAAGATGCGTTGAGGAACTCTGCTGGAAACTTTTATATCAATTGCAAGAGTACTGGCGCTGTGGTGGGTCAACAGCCGTTTGGGGGCGCGAGAGGGAGTGGTACGAACGATAAGGCGGGTAGTATGACGTTTTTGACTAGGTTTGTAAGCGCGAGAAGTATTAAGGAGGAGTTCAGTTCGACGGTCAAGGTTGAGTATCCTAGTAATGAGGTTTGAGGGGGAGGATCGATCAGCCGGGAATTTGCAACGAAAGTGCAACGAGCTTTACAGGGCATTCTGCAGTAAGTAGTCAGACAAGATTTCTACGGTTAGATGAGGAACAATATCAAGCTGGTGGGAAGGGGTCTCATTATGCAAGGCATGATTCAACGAAGATGAAGATACATTGCATCGAGCTTAGGTATATAAGTAGCGAGCACATGATGAATGAATGAATGACATCAATTGACTCACTCCATTATAACATATATATATATATATACTAGGTAGAGGCTACTGGCATTCCTCATTCCTCAAAACCAACTGCCTAAAACACACAAGGCTGCTGATATGGACCCGCCTATTCATGCAAGGCTGATTGACGATCGTTTCATTGCGTCACTTCCTTGATTCGATTCCACAATTGATTGATCCACCCACCCACTGCACTTCACTTCATTCAAGCAGACATCTCCCAACTTATCAAATTCAACTCCTTTCATCATCTTTAATAAACAAAATCTCAAATCTCAAACCTCAAATCTCACAAAAGACCTTTTACAAGATGAAGAAATTCTTGAATAAAGCAAAAGACTCGTATAAAGAGTTTCAAGATCATACGAGTAGCGGGGTTGGAAGTGGAGGGGGAGGGCCGGCTTCTCAACAACCTGTGGCGCAACAACCGAATCAGCCGGTTGATTTGGGACCACCGGCTTCGATTGATGTGTTGAGGTATAGATATCATCATGGAACGAATTTAGGTTCTATTTTCGGTATATCATCTATTTCCTTTTTCTCCGGCTTTTATCTCATCTCATGATTCTCGTTCTCATCCAACTCCTCCACTCCATATAACCAACCAACCACAAACTTGCCGTACATCAAACTGACCATCCCCAGTCCTCGAAAAATGGCTCCACGGCTCCATGTTCCCCGCGTCCTCCAAAGGCGGCTCCGAACTCGACGCCGCCACCGCCAGCCTCTCAGAGCTAGGCCTCGACGCCGCGCGCTCCAAATTCGAGCAGCACTGGGCGAACGCAGTCTCGGATTCTGATTTCGCGTGGCTGGTCAACGAGGCGAAATGCACGAGCATTAGACTGCCCATTGGGTACTTCACGCTCGGCCCGGAGTACTGCAAGGGCACGCCGTTCGAGAAGGTCAGCGGCGTGTACGCGAACGCGTGGGCGGCAGTGCGGACCTTGGTCGCGCGGGCCAGGAGCCACGGTATCGGGGTGCTGATCGATCTCCATGCGCTGCCGGGCGGGGCGAACGGGGATGCGCATTCGGGGTCCGGCACGGGGAAGGCGGAGTTCTGGGGGTCGCGGGGGAATGTGGCGCTGGTAAAGAAGGTGCTGGGTGCGATTGCAGGTGAGGTGAGGGGGGGAATGGACGGCGTGGTTGGGATCCAGGTTGTGAATGAAGCGGTGTGGGGAGCGAAGCACATGTATGAGTTTTACGAGCAGGCGCTGGAGACGATTGGGAGTGTGGATGCGAGGATCCCGGTTTATATTAGCGATGCGTGGGATTTGGAGAAGGCGCTGAAGTGGTGTAATGGGCGGAAGAGAGGGGGATGCCCGGTGGTGGTTGATACGCATAAGTATTATACTTTCAGTGACAAGGATAGGGCGCAGGCTCCGCAGGAGATTATTGCGAGGATTGGAGGCGAGTTGAAACAGTTGGATGGGAAGGTGGGGAATTTGTGTGATAGAGGTGAAGTTCAGGTTGTCGTTGGAGAATGGTACGTCTTTCTCTCCCTCCCTTCTTTCTTTCCAAATCTTCACTCCACTTTCACCCCATCCATCCCTTCTCTTCATTTGACTTCACCCCCTCAATTCACCCCCTAACAAAAGAACAGGAGTTGTGTCCTAGACGGCAAAACCTGGTCCCGCGTCTCTCCCCAAGAAAAAGGCAACCTCGTAACGCAATTCGGCCGTGCCCAAAGCGCCGTCTGGCAGCAACGAGCCGGTGGGTCTTATTTCTGGACCTACAAAATGGACTGGATGGACGGCGGAGAATGGGGATTCGCCGAGCAGACCAAAAAAGGCAATATCCCCCCTCCCGCGTACCTCTGTCTCCCAGCCCACGAAGTCCGCAATAGACTCCAAAGCGCGAGCGAGAGACGCAAGGAGTTGGGCGATGGCGCGAAGCGCGGACATGAGGGGTATTGGGACGGGCAGAGTCCGGGACAGAAATTCGAGCATTGGCGGTATGGGGAGGGGTGGGAGCTGGGATATAGTGATGCGATGAAGTTTTTTGCGTTTAGGGGGGACGAGGGAGGGGAGGGGGGTGATCGGATTGGGTGTTTGGAGATTTGGATCAGGAGGCGGTTGGGGGAGAGTGGGCAGATTGGGGGGGGCGTTTGCGTGGGAGTGGGAGCAGGGGTTTCGGGCTGGGGTGAGGGCTTTTGAGGAGGCGGTTGGGATTTAGATGGAGGGAGTGGGAGTGGGAGTGGGAGTGGAAGTGGAAGCGAGAAAGGGGTGAAGCTGAAGCGGAAGGGAGGGTGAGGGGGCTTTACTGTACAGACGGTAGTAGTGTAGAAAATGATGAGAGTATATATCTGCACAAGCAATATTCTAGGGAATAGAACGACAACCTATCTATCTATGTATACCGATTTCCGGGCGATTTCCTGCAATGTTGGAATCTGAGGCTTTAGAAATCTATCGTCATTCATTTTCCGTAAACCTCTCATATATATCAGAACGATTCATATCCGTAGCTTCATACATAAGATTACATATTTAACAAACACCATAGATAGTAATTTCTTACACGTACGTATAGTAACAAATCTTCAAACCTTCACTCAAATCAGACTCAGGCCTAGCATTAAGATAAATGTAGTATTTCACATCAGTATTTTTCTTTCCATCTAGCCCACCCGTGCACGGCTTCCATTGCTCCCTCACCAAGCGCAAGCGCTGGCTCTTAGCTAGCGCGCTCTCACATACATACATACATACATACATACGCAGAGGCTTCATATCCTAGAAGGTACAGTACGCTAGCGCATTCGTCAGCTCAACGTGGTCGAGAAGCGGTAGCTTGGAAAGCTGTGTTGCTGTTGACTGTGCCGAATCAAAAGTCCCCTTCACTTCGCTCGTACCGGGCGTCTCTGCTTGATGGATGTGATTATTGTGGTGTAGGTAGACATAAAAGCATGCGCAAGAAAAAAATATTTACTCTATACTCCGTATAATATCAATCTATCAAATAAACAGTTTGCTGTACTTGTATGAGTACCAAACGCCGCAAAACAATCAATTAATCAATCAATCAGTCAGTCTCGATAACGTGACTTGCGTTGCGGTACGTCATGTTCCGTACTCAGCAAATCAAATCCTTCACGCTCATGCCTCCCCTGCTTTCAATTCTAGTCCTAGCGTCCGCGCTCGTGCTCGTGCTCGTACCTCGTCTATCGGTATTCAGCATTAAGAGCGCGACGGTGGCTTCTTGATCCATATCTAGATTTAGAGATAGAGATAGAGATGGATTTCGTTGGGGTGGTAAGGCGGGGCTTGTGAGGGTGGAGTTGGGGCGCGCATGGTCGTATGTGGAGGTGGAAGGGCCGAGAGCTGGACTTGTGGTTGTCGATGCGCATGCAGATGTAGAGGTGGATGCGGAGGTGGATGCGGAGGTGCTGAAGCTGTAGTGGCGGTGAGTGTTGGAGTGGGAGGCGGGTGATATGGGGGAATAGGAAAGTCGTCGGTTGAGGGGGTTTTGGGGGAGGAGGGCTGGTGATGTGGATATGGATGTGGATGTGGAGATGGAGATGGGGCGCGGTGTTGGTGTATAGGTAGGTGAGGTGCCAGCTTCAGAGCCAAGCATCTCTATATCGCCATCTGCCTCATACTGTGTATATTGTCTCGGTGTGCCGAGGTCATCTTCTCGTCTTGCTGGTCGAGGGGGAACGAATTGCTCGTTCTTGTCTGATGAGGAAGTAGAAGGCGGATTCGCTCGATTGTTCTCTGCTTGTAGTTTCGTGACGCAGTCTTCTAGATATCGTACATAATCTATTGACGCCTGTGGTAAAGTAGAGCAGAGCAGTTAGCGACAGGATTGGATTGGATTGGATTGGATGTGGTATGTATTGTAGTACTAACCTGTAGAATGGCTAGCTTGTGCATTTCTCCCGTACAAGCAGGTATCATGTCCTTCAAAACCCCAAACTCATCGTTCATCTTGGATCTCCTCCTCCGCTCAATCAAACTATGTGCCGTCTTCCTAGCAATCTTCCGTCCAGCAACGCTTGTTGAAGAAGGCTGTTTCTTCTTTGGCGGGGCCGTTGATTTGGGAGCTGTATACTTGGGGCTCTCTTTAGGAGGTTCAATCTCCTCTGCTTGTTGGGGTTTCATCTGAATAATCTTTCTTGATCGCGTAGGTGGTGGGGGAAGCGCAAAGGAATCCTTGGGAGGTGCTTGAGCTACTGACGAGCGTCTACGGATCTTCACTACCTCGCTGGCGGGAATGAGAGGTGATTTTGGGGACGCGGGGTGATATGACGAGCCGGACTTGAGAATCGTCGCCGCTCCGGAAGGCTGGAATTCCATGTCTGCTACAGCTGGTGGAGGCAGTTCGAAGGACGTCTGCAACGAGAAGAACTGCGAACCATCCTTGCTCCTGATCTCGGTGGAAGATGCAGGTGTTGGCGGGTGCTCTGGTCGGGGCATCGTGCGTGCCCCGAGTATTCCGTACCTAGGTAGGGTAGGGATGGTGAACTCTGAAGCTGAAGCAGTCTGGTAACTCAGGATGGTCTCGTGAGCGAACAGCTCCGTAATAGTCTCTTCTGCGTAGGACAAGATTGAAGAGAATATGATATAATACCGACTCGGTAGTGGAGGGGAGAGGGGAAGAACAAAGTGCAAACAGTGGGGGATATATGAATACACCCACGATGAGTGCGCAGGGAGATGGTGCTTAAAGTATAGAATGGGACAGTAAGGACGAGGAGGGGAGGGCTCTCTGCACTAGCAGCCCTCCATGGTAGACATTGCAGGCTTTAATAAGACTCGCATCGTCGACGATGGTGGGACTCGTACTATCTATCGGCTTCACGATAATTGCAGGCCACTCCACGCCAGCAGGATAACAAAATGGCCTCTCGGGCAGGTTGGAATGTCGCGTGCTTCATTTGGTTGGTTGATGGAAGGTTGCAACAGCATCAGCCACTCAGAGCACGAAGATGGGAACGTGCTGTTGGTGGAGCTGGTGGCTGGGATTGGGTGGGGTAATGATCACGTGCATGTTTGCCCTTTCAAGTGTGGAAGAGGTGTACAAGATTGAGAAAAAGGCAAATTTTTAAGGTTTCATAAGTTGCAAATATCAGACAACTATGGGCTGCATGCCTTGTTTGGTCATATGCTATCAAGTTTCAAGAACCCCTTTATCAGGCCAACCCCCCTTTTTCTGTTAGCGAGAACGCTTATAAAATTGATTTAAAACTCCTGCAGTGTTTTACGGCCTTCTCCCTTAAGGCTCGCCAATAATAAACCCTTAAGTTTGCTGGACATAAAAAGGGGCACATATTCTTGTTAGTTCTCAATGTCCCACGCTACATGACATATTATAAATTATATACCGCTTTTTTTTTCTGTCCAGCGGGAGCTTCTTCTTTTTGTAGAGACGGCCGTAAAACACTATTTGGAACAAGAAGCCATGTGGGACTATAACCCAAAGGAATGTTCTGCTTACTTCCGGGAGGGATGTTTTATTCCATCTAAAAGTCCCGACTAGGTTACGGGGTCCTGTGAGAGTTATCTGATTCTTATTTTTACAGCACGACTATCAACCCCATCTGTGATACAAAAACATCTCTAGCCACACTTCCAATTCAGAGAATTATTATCCCCTCTGCTTAGCCCCGGGTATCCTCGTTCCAAAACCAAAAGCAAAAGTCGATTCTCTACCATCTGGTCGCTTTTGAACCTTTCCCCATGCCAGTCCATATTTCCCCACAGGCCAGATGCCCAAACCTCCCTAAAGCAAGCTTTTCAACAAGATAGGCATAGTGTCCGGCCTCGTGATCTCTCGTAACAAGTTTCCAAAGACTTTAAAGACATCGACCCGAAAACACAATTATCAAGCAATAAGTTCAGCCGCGGTTAGGAAGATATCATCAATGCCGGCTTTGATTCCTTCGATGCCATCAAGAAGATCACAGCCTCCTGGAACCCAGAACTTAACGCTGCCAATTGCCCCAGCGTCAAATCTATCAGCAGTCTTAACGCACTTTTTCGCATGAAGCCGTCCAAGTTCATTCTTGCAGTTGCCATCGCTGAATGCGATAACATGTTGCATAGGCTCATGGTCGGTATAAATACTGGCAGCTTCTGGTCCGATTTTAACACAGAAGCAACTCAACGCGCTTTTCCATTTCGCGTATTTGTCGTTGTTACTGAGAAAATATGTTATTAGCAGCGGCTAGTATAAAGAAGTTCTTTTATAATAACTATAGGAGGAGTCTTACTTGCAAGCATCACTGGTATATTTGCTGACGTGATTCGCGTTTCGGACTTCAAGAGCGGCAGCTTGTGTGACGGCTGTGAGGGAAAGGAGTGCAAAGATGGTAGAGTAACGCATCTTGCCTGGTATGAGATGAATATCGAAAGTATGTGGTGATTGAATTGTAGAGATGGTGGATCTTTGTGTTCTGTAGGTAGGTAGGAAGTGAAGAGTTTGGAGAAGAATAATAATTGCTCGGTGGACTTTTCAGATATATATTTATATTAATTTGAATTTGGTTCTTATCTAACAGGAACTGGACTGAACTATTACTTCTGACACACTTTTCAATAGCCAGTTAACTAGTAATCTTAACTTAATTAGTAATGGGTCAGTTTTATTAGGTTTAATTTAGGGACCATAGGTATGGGCCCCAGCGGTCGTAAAGCTATAGTAATGCCTCTTTGAGACCAGTTTTCTCTCCGCTTTTACTTCCCTTGCTTTTTTCTCAGATATATAATTCGATGTCACTCTTGAAGAAGTTTTGAAGCAGTTCTCTTCCTTTCTCTCTCTCAGTATACAAATTTAGTAAGTTACTATTGAGCATGTCTTAATACTCGACTTTCTATGATACGATATAACTGAACTTAGCAATAATTTCAGTAACCCACGGGATAGTTAATTCCTTTGTACTACTACTTGGTAGTCCAAGCGGTGGACTGTTTTAAGTAGGATTCTTTATTCAGTTCTTCGCTAGTCTGGCATTAGCATATAACCACCTGGTGCACTGGGTGACCCTGAAATTTAGACTTCCGAATAAAATAGAAAACTCTGACTAGAAAGGAATGTGGGGTAAGATTTTTAATTTCATATCGTTTGAAAATGCTTTCCGTAGGGCTGCGGCGGTTTTATTGTGCGGTCAAAACCCATCCTACCTGCCAACTACAGCTCGCGCGCGCCCTAGTATTCCAGTCCAAACTTCCATCTTATAAGAAATTCCTCCTAGTACCAATTTCCTTCCGACCCTTAAATATTTAAGGATATAGCCCATCTCCAGTTGGAGAAGGCCCACATAGAAATTACCAGGAGAGGGGTGGAACTTGGCTTACCGGGCACTATAAAAAGCCTTTTCCTAATTGGGTTAGATGCAACTCAATTTAGGTATATAATTGAGTCCACTTAAGTAAACCGAGTAATTGGGGTACATGTAGGTAGGGTCATACATGCTTTGCTTTATATGGAAGGAGGTACGGGCTTGTACGACCTTCGTTCGTCCTACCCTGCAAGGCAAAGACGGATACAACATAGATATATGTATCGTGTCTCTCAGAACCGCCACCCCTTCTGTTTTCACTTTCCTCACTCTCACACCTAGTTGACTTGGGTCTCGATTCATATAACAACTCTCTTCTGCAATGGCTTTCTCACTCGCTGAGCAGAGCGTGTTTTCCCTTGCTGGCGCTGGTCTCTGCTGTGTAAGTTCTTGTACTTGCATACCTACAACGCTGCGCTCACCCAATTTCATGCTTGATTGTGCATTTATATCTCGTATTTCGTAGCAACTCATGTCTATTTAGGTCTCGTTGAAAGTGACTTACACGTCTTAGTTTCTCTTCTACCTCACGCTCCGCGCTTTCTACCGTGTAACCCTTCATCCACTCGCCTCCTACTCGGGACCAACCTTATGGTCTATCTCCGACCTTCCCTCCGCCTACCAAACTTTCCGGGGTACGCTTCCATTCAAGATCTCCTCTCTGCACGCCAAGTACGGACCTGTTGTACGCATCGGACCTAATGACCTGACGTATATCGTGGAGGAAGCATGGACGGATATCTATGCGCGCAAGGTCGAATTGAGGAAGGACCCGAGCCAGTTTGTGATTGTGGGAGAGGAGAAGATACCAGGGCTCCTGACCTCCCCGGACGAGCAGGCACATTCTAGAATGCGGTACTTTTGTCCTTCTTGCTTCCATTCTACACAAGGTGGTTGTGGCTGACGGAAGGCTTTCGCAGACGCAATCTCGCTCACGGCTTTTCCGAGAAAGCTTTGCGGGGCCAGGAGTATATCATTCGGGGCTATGTTGACTTGCTGATGCAGCGACTACACGAGAACTGCGGGAAAGGTACTGTTGATATAGCGAAGTGGTTGAACTTTGCTAGTTTCGATATTATTGGGGACTTGACCTTTGGAGAATCCTTCAGCTGTCTCGAGACGTCTGAAATGCATGTAAGTCTAAAGCTATTTATGGAAGCGGAGAGAGATGTTGATGAAAAAACAGTTCTGGGTACAGCTGATATTCGATAACCTGAAATCAATATCACTTCTCGGCCTGATGAAGAAGTTCCCGCCGCTTGATAAGATCCTTCTTTCTCTACTCCCAAAGAATGCCATGGAAAAGCAGCAGGAGCATCTAGCACTCACAGAAGCCAAAATGATGAGGAGATTGGAGTCTCAAGAAAGCCGTCTCGACTTGTGAGCTCCTCAAGCCCGCCCCCTGATTGCTCTTGTTCCAGCTAACGCCATATGAAAAGCCTTTCGGAAGTCCAAAATCAGATCAATACACCGTCTGGAATGAGCAAGGCTGAATTGCTACCCACAGTCAACCTCCTCATTGTAGCAGGCTCCGAAACAACGGCCACCTTGCTAAGCGCCACAAGCTACTTCATCCTAACCAACCCATCCTGTCTCTCCAAACTCCAAGCAGAAGTTCGAAACGCATTTAAAACGGAAAAAGAAATCAATATCGTTAGTGTGAACAGCTTGAGCTACATGCTAGCTATCTTGAACGAGGTGCTGAGATTATACCCCCCTTCGCCAGCGAGCTTCAACCGATTGACGCCACCTGGTGGCTGTCAGATCGTAGGGAAATTCGTGACAGGCAATACAAGCGTGGCAGTCAACCAATGGGCTGCGAATCACTCTCCTACTAATTTCGTCCGGGCCGATGAATTTATACCCGAGAGATGGATGGGAGGTGACGAGTTTGCGGGAGACAACAGGAGGGCAGTGCAACCATTCAGCGTGGGCCGAAGGGATTGTATTGGAAGGAATCTGGCGTATGCGGAGATGAGGCTGGTTCTTGCACGACTGGTGTGGAATTTTGATATGGAGCTTGCTGAAGCGAGTAGAAATTGGATGAAGAACTTGAGGGTTTTCTTGGTGTATGAGAAACGTCCTCTGATGGTTCATTTGCAGCCAGTTGTTAGGGGCTGAATTGTAATTTATACGTGTCTGTATAGACACTTGAAGCGAGGTATAATGTAGTTATACACGAAGGAAGTAAATCACAGGTAAAATATTCACTCGGAACATATTCTCTTACAATCGACTTACGTTCACCACTTTGAATGCGTGACATTACTTGAACTATTCAATTGACCCAATGCCTTTTAGACCTTCCGGATGAACCACCGGAGAAGCTTTTATGATGTTACCTCCATGAATCTGAGAAGATAGAAAATGTATTTCCCAAATCTGCATCATGGCTTGACTTGTACAATTAAGATCATTCTTGATAAACGAGACGTTTTCTTCAGCTCTATTCCAAGACTCCGCTTACTGAATGCAAAGAGATCTAAAATATCAGTCCGCCCGTATAACGATTCTCTTCCTATAATATCCAAAAGATTCACATTTGCCTGAAGCTGTTGAGTATAGCCCATATACAGAGCTCAATGCTGCTGACTTACCATGAGAATCACTTAATCTTTCATTAGGAATTTGTCTTCTGTTCCCAGCTGAGGAGGAGGGTTTAGTCAGCTTCAGATTCGATATTTTCAAGTGAAAGAAAGGCATCATGCAACTCACAGGTCTAAGAGCAGCTTCCACAAGATCGAAAACAGCAGTCCTTGAAGCCCGTTGGCCAGGATACGCGTCTTCAGTCCACGGCCAAGCAATCCAATTACCCCATCTTCGCGGACCACTGCTCTCGCAGCCTCGGCTATAAGTGCGTTTAGCGGAAATTGTCT